CAATCAATCAACCAACTGACCAAACAACCAACTGACTAACTCACTACCAATGATAACCAATTGAAATTCACGGAAACACAGCGAAATTGCTGAATTCAAATGTAAAATGCTCACAGAGACACACTCATACCGACACAATACACGACATCACAACGCAGAGCCACACCACACGCAACAACCCAAGAGTACACAAAACAACACAACAAACCTCAAAACGCTCTCTCACATACATATACACGAGGCGATACGAGACAACACAACACAATGCGGCACAACACAAAACATTCCTCGAAAATCACCAGTCCACATCCCTGATCATTCAGAGTTGATAATGTCGCTAACCCCTTCCACCAATTGTGCATCATTCACATCAAAACATCCTCCTCCACCTCTCTGTATCTCTCTCACTACACCCACTCCCTCTACCTCTTTCTCCGCAGAAACACAACCAATAGCAAATCAGTCAGAAAGCACTGCGTCAGCTGGCACTGATCAACAGTTGACTACCACGCCTCAATTCCTGTCAGAAACACCAGGTGAGTGAGTTCATTATTCACCCAACACTCGCCCTCTCCACTCCCATCAATCCACCAATTCAGCCTTCATAATCCATCCAGCAGTATGCATCAACCAACATCCACTTCACTCGGCCCATCACACAAACAAACACAACAGCCTACACACGAACAAACAAACAACGCAAAAGCAAATATCAAGCTAGCCAACTAACCAACTAATCAACCAACCAAACAAACAAACAATCAATCAACCAACTGACCAAACAACCAACTGACTAACTCACTACCAATGATAACCAATTGAAATTCACGGAAACACAGCGAAATTGCTGAATTCAAATGTAAAATGCTCACAGAGACACACTCATACCGACACAATACACGACATCACAACGCAGAGCCACACCACACGCAACAACACAAGAGTACACAAAACAACACAACAAACCTCAAAACGCTCTCTCACATACATATACACGAGGCGATAAGAGACAACACAACACAACACAGCACAACACAAAACATTCCTCGAAAATCACCAGTCCACATCCCTGATCATTCAGAGTTGATAATGTCGCTAACCCCTTCCACCAATTGTGCATCATTCACATCAAAACATCCTCCTCCACCTCTCTGTATCTCTCTCACTACACCCACTCCCTCTACCTCTTTCTCCGCAGAAACACAACCAATAGCAAATCAGTCAGAAAGCACTGCGTCAGCTGGCACTGATCAACAGTTGACTACCACGCCTCAATTCCTGTCAGAAACACCAGGTGAGTGAGTTCATTTTTCACCCAACACTCGCCCTCTCCACTCCTATCGATCCACCAACTCAGCCTTCATAATCCATCCAGCAGTATGCATCAACCAACATCCACTTCACTCGGCCCATCACACAAACAAACACAACAGCCTACACACGAACAAACAAACAACGCAAAAGCAAATATCAAGCTAGCCAACTAACCAACTAATCAACCAACCAAACAAACAAACAATCAATCAACCAACTTACCAAACAACCAACTAACTAACTCACTACCAATGATAACCAATTGAAATTCACGGAAACACAGCGAAATTGCTGAATTCAAATGTGAGATGCTCACAGAGACACACTCATACCGACACAATACACGACATCACAACGCAGTGTCACACCACACGCAACAACACAAGAGTACACAAAACAACACAACAAACCTCAAAACGCTCTCTCACATACATATACACGAAGCGATACGAGACAACAAAACACAACACAACACAACACAAAACATTCCTCGAAAATCACCAGTCCACATCCCTGATCATTCAGAGTTGATAATGTCGCTAACCCCTTCCACCAATTGTGCATCATTCACATCAAAATATTCTCCTCCACCTCTATGTATCTCTCTCACTACACCCACTCCCTCTACCTCTTTCTCCGCAGAAACACAACCAATAGCAAATCAGTCAGAAAGCACTGCGTCAGCTGGCACTGATCAACAGTTGACTACCACGCCTCAATTCCTGTCAGAAACACCAGGTGAGTGAGTTCATTATTCACCCAACACTCGCCCTCTCCACTCCCATCAATCCACCAACTCAGCCTTCATAATCCATCCAGCAGTATGCATCAACCAACATCCACTTCACTCGGCCTATCACACAAACAAACACAACAGTCTACACACGAACAAACAAACAACGCTAAAGCAAATATCAAGCTAGCCAACTAACCAACTAATCAACCAACCAAACAAACAAACAATCAATCAACCAACTGACCAAACAACCAACTGACTAACTCACTACCAATGATAACCAATTGAAATTCACGGAAACACAGCGAAATTGCTGAATTCAAATGTGAAATGCTCACAGAGACACACTCATACCGACACAATACACGACATCACAACGCAGAGCCACACCACACGCAACAACACAACAGTACACAAAACAACACAACAAACCTCAAAACGCTCTCTCACATACATATACACGAGGCGATACGAGACAACACAACACAACACAACACAAAACATTCCTCGAAAATCACCAGTCAACATCCCTGATCATTCAGAGTTGATAATGTCGCTAACCCCTTCCACCAATTGTGCACCATTCACATCAAAATATTCTCCTCCACCTCTATGTATCTCTCTCACTACACCCACTCCCTCTACCTCTTTCTCCGCAGAAACACAACCAATAGCAAATCAGTCAGAAAGCACTGCGTCAGCTGGCACTGATCAACAGTTGACTACCACGCGTCAATTCCTGTCAGAAACACCAGGTGAGTGAGTTCATTATTCACCCAACACTCGCCCTCTCCACTCCTATCGATCCACCAACTCAGCCTTCATAATCCATCCAGCAGTATGCATCAACCAACATCCACTTCACTCGGCCCATCACACAAACAAACACAACAGCCTACACACGAACAAACAAACAACGCAAAAGCAAATATCAAGCTAGCCAACTAACCAACTAATCAACCAACCAAACAAACAAACAATCAATCAACCAACTTACCAAACAACCAACTGACTAACTCACTACCAATGATAACCAATTGAAATTCACGGAAACACAGCGAAATTGCTGAATTCAAATGTGAAATGCTCACAGAGACACACTCATACCGACACAATACACGACATCACAACGCAGTGTCACACCACACGCAACAACACAAGAGTACACAAAACAACACAAATAACCTCAAAACGCTCTCTCACATACATATACACGAAGCGATACGAGACAACAAAACACAACACAACACAAAACATTCCTCGAAAATCACCAGTCCACATCCCTGATCATTCAGAGTTGATAATGTCGCTAACCCCTTCCACCAATTGTGCACCATTCACATCAAAATATTCTCCTCCACCTCTATGTATCTCTCTCACTACACCCACTCCCTCTACCTCTTTCTCCGCAGAAACACAACCAATAGCAAATCAGTCAGAAAGCACTGCGTCAGCTGGCACTGATCAACAGTTGACTACCACGCCTCAATTCCTGTCAGAAACACCAGGTGAGTGAGTTCATTATTCACCCAACACTCGCCCTCTCCACTCCCATCAATCCACCAATTCAGCCTTCATAATCCATCCAGCAGTATGCATCAACCAACATCCACTTCACTCGGCCCATCACACAAACAAACACAACAGCCTACACACGAACAAACAAACAACGCAAAAGCAAATATCAAGCTAGCCAACTAACCAACTAATCAACCAACCAAACAAACAAACAATCAATCAACCAACTGACCAAACAACCAACTGACTAACTCACTACCAATGATAACCAATTGAAATTCACGGAAACACAGCGAAATTGCTGAATTCAAATGTAAAATGCTCACAGAGACACACTCATACCGACACAATACACCACATCACAACGCAGTGTCACACCACACGCAACAACACAAGAGTACACAAAACAACACAAATAACCTCAAAACGCTCTCTCACATACATATACACGAAGCGATACGAGACAACAAAACACAACACAACACAACACAAAACATTCCTCGAAAATCACCAGTCCACATCCCTGATCATTCAGAGTTGATAATGTCGCTAACCTCTTCCACCAATTGTGCATCATTCACATCAAAATATTCTCCTCCACCTCTCTGTATCTCTCTCACTACACCCACTCCCTCTCCCTCTTTCTCCACAGAAACACAACCAGTCGCAAATCAGTCAGAAAGCACTGCGTCAGCTGGCACTGATCAACAGTTGACTACCACGCCTCAATTCCTGTCAGAAACACCAGGTGAGTGAGTTCATTATTCACCCAACACTCGCCCTCTCCACTCCCATCAATCCACCAACTCAGCCTTCATAATCCATCCAGCAGTATGCATCAACCAACATCCACTTCACTCGGCCTATCACACAAACAAACACAACAGTCTACACACAAACAAACAAACAACGCAAAAGCAAATATCAAGCTAGCCAACTAACCAACTAATCAACCAACCAAACAAACAAACAATCAATCAACCAACTGACCAAACAACCAACTGACTAACTCACTACCAATGATAACCAATTGAAATTCACGGAAACACAGCGAAATTGCTGAATTCAAATGTAAAATGCTCACAGAGACACACTCATACCGACACAATACACGACATCACAACACAGGGCCACACAACACGCAACAACACAACAGTACACAAAACAACACAACAAACCTCAAAACGCTCTCTCACATACATATACACGAGGCGATACGAGACAACACAACACAACACAACACAACACAAAACATTCCTCGAAAATCACCAGTCCACATCCCTGATCATTCAGAGTTGATAATGTCGCTAACCCCTTCCACCAATTGTGCATCATTCACATCAAAATATTCTCCTCCACCTCTCTGTATCGCTCTCACTACACCCACTCCCTCTCCCTCTTTCTCCGCAGAAACACAACCAGTCGCAAATCAGTCAGAAAGCACTGCGTCAGCTGGCACTGATCAACAGTTGACTACCACGCCTCAATTCCTGTCAGAAACACCAGGTGAGTGAGTTCATTATTCACCCAACACTCGCCCTCTCCACTCCCATCAATCCACCAATTCAGCCTTCATAATCCATCCAGCAGTATGCATCAACCAACATCCACTTCACTCGGCCCATCACACAAACAAACACAACAGCCTACACACGAACAAACAAACAACGCAAAAGCAAATATCAAGCTAGCCAACTAACCAACTAATCAACCAACCAAACAAACAAACAATCAATCAACCAACTGACCAAACAACCAACTGACTAACTCACTACCAATGATAACCAATTGAAATTCACGGAAACACAGCGAAATTGCTGAATTCAAATGTAAAATGCTCACAGAGACACACTCATACCGACACAATACACGACATCACAACGCAGTGTCACACCACACGCAACAACACAAGAGTACACAAAACAACACAACAAACCTCAAAACGCTCTCTCACATACATATACACGAAGCGATACGAGACAACAAAACACAACACAACACAAAACATTCCTCGAAAATCACCAGTCCACATCCCTGATCATTCAGAGTTGATAATGTCGCTAACCCCTTCCACCAATTGTGCACCATTCACATCAAAATATTCTCCTCCACCTCTATGTATCTCTCTCACTACACCCACTCCCTCTACCTCTTTCTCCGCAGAAACACAACCAATAGCAAATCAGTCAGAAAGCACTGCGTCAGCTGGCACTGATCAACAGTTGACTACCACGCCTCAATTCCTGTCAGAAACACCAGGTGAGTGAGTTCATTATTCACCCAACACTCGCCCTCTCCACTCCCATCAATCCACCAACTCAGCCTTCATAATCCATCCAGCAGTATGCATCAACCAACATCCACTTCACTCGGCCCATCACACAAACAAACACAACAGCCTACACACGAACAAACAAACAACGCAAAAGCAAATATCAAGCTAGCCAACTAACCAACTAATCAACCAACCAAACAAACAAACAATCAATCAACCAACTGACCAAACAACCAACTGACTAACTCACTACCAATGATAACCAATTGAAATTCACGGAAACACAGCGAAATTGCTGAATTCAAATGTAAAATGCTCACAGAGACACACTCATACCGACACAATACACGACATCACAACGCAGTGTCACACCACACGCAACAACACAAGAGTACACAAAACAACACAACAAACCTCAAAACGCTCTCTCACATACATATACACGAAGCGATACGAGACAACACAACACAATGCAGCACAACACAAAACATTCCTCGAAAATCACCAGTCCACATCCCTGATCATTCAGAGTTGATAATGTCGCTAACCCCTTCCACCAATTGTGCATCATTCACATCAAAATATTCTCCTCCACCTCTCTGTATCTCTCTCACTACACCCACTCCCTCTACCTCTTTCTCCGCAGAAACACAACCAATAGCAAATCAGTCAGAAAGCACTGCGTCAGCTGGCACTGATCAACAGTTGACTACCACGCCTCAATTCCTGTCAGAAACACCAGGTGAGTGAGTTCATTATTCACCCAACACTCGCCCTCTCCACTCCCATCAATCCACCAACTCAGCCTTCATAATCCATCCAGCAGTATGCATCAACCAACATCCACTTCACTCGGCCTATCACACAAACAAACACAACAGTCTACACACAAACAAACAAACAACGCAAAAGCAAATATCAAGCTAGCCAACTAACCAACTAATCAACCAACCAAACAAACAAACAATCAATCAACCAACTGACCAAACAACCAACTGACTAACTCACTACCAATGATAACCAATTGAAATTCACGGAAACACAGCGAAATTGCTGAATTCAAATGTAAAATGCTCACAGAGACACACTCATACCGACACAATACACGACATCACAACGCAGTGTCACACCACACGCAACAACACAAGAGTACACAAAACAACACAACAAACCTCAAAACGCTCTCTCACATACATATACACGAGGCGATACGAGACAACACAACACAATGCAGCACAACACAAAACATTCCTCGAAAATCAACAGTCCACATCCCTGATCATTCAGAGTTGAGAATGTCGCTAACCCCTTCCACCAATTGTGCATCATTCACATCAAAACATCCTCCTCCACCTCTCTGTATCTCTCTCACTACACCCACTCCCTCTCCCTCTTTCTCCGCAGAAACACAACCAGTCGCAAATCAGTCAGAAAGCACTGCGTCAGCTGGCACTGATCAACAGTTGACTACCACGCCTCAATTCCTGTCAGAAACACCAGGTGAGTCAGTTCATTATTCACCCAACACTCGCCCTCTCCACTCCCATCAATCCACCAACTCAGCCTTCATAATCCATCCAGCAGTATGCATCAACCAACATCCACTTCACTCGGCCCATCACACAAACAAACACAACAGCCTACACACGAACAAACAAACAACGCAAAAGCAAATATCAAGCTAGCCAACTAACCAACTAATCAACCAACCAAACAAACAAACAATCAATCAACCAACTGACCAAACAACCAACTGACTAACTCACTACCAATGATAACCAATTGAAATTCACGGAAACACAGCGAAATTGCTGAATTCAAATGTAAAATGCTCACAGAGACACACTCATACCGACACAATACACGACATCACAACGCAGTGTCACACCACACGCAACAACACAAGAGTACACAAAACAACACAACAAACCTCAAAACGCTCTCTCACATACATATACACGAAGCGATACGAGACAACAAAACACAACACAACACAAAACATTCCTCGAAAATCACCAGTCCACATCCCTGATCATTCAGAGTTGATAATGTCGCTAACCCCTTCCACCAATTGTGCATCATTCACATCAAAATATTCTCCTCCACCTCTCTGTATCGCTCTCACTACACCCACTCCCTCTCCCTCTTTCTCCGCAGAAACACAACCAGTCGCAAATCAGTCAGAAAGCACTGCGTCAGCTGGCACTGATCAACAGTTGACTACCACGCCTCAATTCCTGTCAGAAACACCAGGTGAGTGAGTTCATTATTCACCCAACACTCGCCCTCTCCACTCCCATCAATCCACCAACTCAGCCTTCATAATCCATCCAGCAGTATGCATCAACCAACATCCACTTCACTCGGCCTATCACACAAACAAACACAACAGTCTAAACACGAACAAACAAACAACGCAAAAGCAAATATCAAGCTAGCCAACTAACCAACTAATCAACCAACCAAACAAACAAACAATCAATCAACCAACTGACCAAACAACCAACTGACTAACTCACTACCAATGATAACCAATTGAAATTCACGGAAACACAGCGAAATTGCTGAATTCAAATGTAAAATGCTCACAGAGACACACTCATACCGACACAATACACGACATCACAACGCAGTGTCACACCACACGCAACAACACAAGAGTACACAAAACAACACAACAAACCTCAAAACGCTCTCTCACATATATATACACGAAGCGATACGAGACAACAAAACACAACACAACACAAAACATTCCTCGAAAATCACCAGTCCACATCCCTGATCATTCAGAGTTGATAATGTCGCTAACCCCTTCCAACAATTGTGCATCATTCACATCAAAACATCCTACTCCACCTCTCTGTATCTCTCTCACTACACCCACTCCCTCTCCCTCTTTCTCCGCAGAAACACAACCAGTCGCAAATCAGTCAGAAAGCACTGCGTCAGCTGGCACTGATCAACAGTTGACTACCACGCCTCAATTCCTGTCAGAAACACCAGGTGAGTGAGTTCATTATTCACCCAACACTCGCCCTCTCCACTCCCATCAATCCACCAACTCAGCCTTCATAATCCATCCAGCAGTATGCATCAACCAACATCCACTTCACTCGGCCTATCACACAAACAAACACAACAGTCTAAACACGAACAAACAAACAACGCAAAAGCAAATATCAAGCTAGCCAACTAACCAACTAATCAACCAACCAAACAAACAAACAATCAATCAACCAACTGACCAAACAACCAACTGACTAACTCACTACCAATGATAACCAATTGAAATTCACGGAAACACAGTGAAATTGCTGAATTCAAATGTAAAATGCTCACAGAGACACACTCATACCGACACAATACACGACATCACAACGCAGTGTCACACCACACGCAACAACACAAGAGTACACAAAACAACACAACAAACCTCAAAACGCTCTCTCACATACATATACACGAAGCGATACGAGACAACAAAACACAACACAACACAAAACATTCCTCGAAAATCACCAGTCCACATCCCTGATCATTCAGAGTTGATAATGTCGCTAACCCCTTCCACCAATTGTGCATCATTCACATCAAAATATTCTCCTCCACCTCTCTGTATCGCTCTCACTACACCCACTCCCTCTCCCTCTTTCTCCGCAGAAACACAACCAGTCGCAAATCAGTCAGAAAGCACTGCGTCAGCTGGCACTGATCAACAGTTGACTACCACGCCTCAATTCCTGTCAGAAACACCAGGTGAGTGAGTTCATTATTCACCCAACACTCGCCCTCTCCACTCCCATCAATCCACCAACTCAGCCTTCATAATCCATCCAGCAGTATGCATCAACCAACATCCACTTCACTCGGCCCATCACACAAACAAACACAACAGCCTACACACGAACAAACAAACAACGCAAAAGCAAATATCAAGCTAGCCAACTAACCAACTAATCAACCAACCAAACAAACAAACAATCAATCAACCAACTGACCAAACAACCAACTGACTAACTCACTACCAATGATAACCAATTGAAATTCACGGAAACACAGCGAAATTGCTGAATTCAAATGTAAAATGCTCACAGAGACACACTCATACCGACACAATACACGACATCACAACGCAGTGTCACACCACACGCAACAACACAAGAGTACACAAAACAACACAACAAACCTCAAAACGCTCTCTCACATACATATACACAAGGCGATACGAGACAACACAACACAACACAAAACATTCCTCGAAAATCACCAGTCCACATCCCTGATCATTCAGAGTTGATAATGTCGCTAACCCCTTCCACCAATTGTGCATCATTCACATCAAAATTTTCTCCTCCACCTCTCTGTATCTCTCTCACTACACCCACTCCCTCTCCCTCTTTCTCCGCAGATCCATCTTGAACTGAGTTGCATTGTGTCATTTTTTATTCGACTTTTTATGTCGTGTAGATCTTCTTCGTTGTTGGCCATAATGAATTTTTCCTTGACGCATCTGCCTGAAGGAAATGATCAGTGGCTTACAAGTCTATATTAGTTACGTCGACGACACCTTCCTTATCGTCAAAAAGGAAGAAAATCTAGACGACATCTTGAAGTCTTTTAACTACTGCCACCCTGCAATTCAGTTCACGGTGGAGAAAGTGTCCAACTCCACAATATCTTTTCTTGACATCCAACTAACTAGAAGAGAACAGGATGGAACACTGAAAATATCTATCCACAGAAAATCGACGTGGAACGGACAGCTTACTAACTTTCACTGTTTGTTACTACTATACACGAAACGAAACCTGATCCGTTCACTCAGCTACAGAGTTCGCACAATTTGCACCCTGGACACCATAGAAGATGAACTGAACAACCTCAAGAGAATCGTCGTCGAGGGTTGCTATCCAGAAATATTTATTGCAAAATCTATGAATCCTAGACCAGAAAAGCCGCCCATATTTTATGAACCTTCAATTCAATGGAGATTTATCTGCGGAAACACTAAAATATCGAATGTCGCGCTCACTTAAGAAGACCTTCTTTGCAGCTGAACTACGACTAACCTTCTCCACAAAACCTATGATTTATGTGAACGTGAAGGATGAGCTACCGCTGCTGGCCTCATCAATGTGCATTTATCAATTCACTTGCTCGTGTGGAGCCAGGTATGTCGGCCGTACCCAACGCTCGCTTTCCAAACGTATCACCGAGCACTTACCAACATGGTTTTACAAAGGAGAAAATCGATGCCCTCGCAGTTCCATCTTCGAACATCTGTTAGTATCCGGACACCAAGCTACACGCAAACAAACTTCAAAGTCATCTACAGAGTAAAAAGTAGTCTCCCCAAAGGTGTACGAATCAGACTTCTTCAAACTGCAGAAGGAATGGCGATTCAAATGCTAAGTCCTGAACTCTGCATACAGAAGAAGTTCGTTCAATCACTACACTTGCAATGGACGTAATCTATCTTATTAGCCAACATGTAAATTCCACCTAATCTTTTCCTCTGTCTCTTCATTAGTATTATTTTGTCTTCTCAATTGTAACATTTTACATTTTCAACTTTCTTGTTCTCTACCCCCACCCGATTCAATTTCTACACCTCACTACCACTGTTACTGACTTGAACTCGCTCAGGTTCTAGTCATT